GTGGGCGATCTTGGCCTTGGTCCCCAGTGAAATGTCCTCACATTTGGTGATCTTTCCTTCACTGCTGCCTTTCCAAGTCTCAGTCTTCTTTCAATTTCTTGGCTGCAGCTTCCCTCTGAATGGATGAAAGAGCCAAGCTATGTAAATTCTTTTACAATTTCAGTTTCTTCTTTGCTAACAATAAAGTTCTGCATTCTTCTGTAGTCATGAGTTTGTTTTCTTTAGTTCAGCTGCAGTCCGGCTTTTGCATTTCCTCTTTCACTTTCATCAGGAGTCTTTCAATTCATTGCTGCTCTCTGCCAATAATAGGGTACCACTGACATATCTTAAATTACTGATGTGTCTCCCACCAATTTTCACTCATGCTTCCTCTGAGCCTAATCCAGGTTTCCGTAAATGTTTTGCATGCAGTTTGAATCAAAGTTTTTGTTGTTATGAACTGTCATCTATGATTTATGGTGACCCTATGAATGAAAGCCTTCCAAAATGTCCTCTCCTTGACAGCCCTGCTCAGCTCTTGTAAGTTCATGGCAGTCCTTTATGGAATCAGTCCAACAGACACTTTTGTCAATAGGAGACCCTTCTGTTTCCCCATATTCAGTCCTAATGGTAGCTTCTTATCTGCAGTGCAAGGTTATGCACCAGGCACACCAGTGTCTTTCTGTAGACCATCCATTAACTTCTTGTGATCCACACAAAGCGGCTGCTGCAGTCTATACAGCACAGACTTCTTTGCACTGATTTGCTTCTGAAATGCTTTGTGCTCTCCGGTAGCCAACATCTATTTGCAATACAATTTTGAGTGCCTTTTTCTTTCCAGAATACAGCCTGAATGTCTGGCATTTTTTGCCCCGTGTAGGGTAATGATACTCTTTGTCACAACACCTTGAGCTTAGATTGCTTCACTTGCACGGAGGATTAGTGCAATGCCCCTGTAGCTGCTGCAATGCTCCGCACGTCCTTTCTTGAGGACTAGAATGTTTCTGGGAGAACTCTGTGAAGATTAGGAGGGTGGCTACCTGAAGAAGGGCCTTCTTTCTGGTGGCACCCCAGTTGTGGAAGCCATGTCCCAGAGAGGTTTGCCTGGTGCCTACACTTTATTCTTTTAAGTATTTTAAGGTTTAGATTGAGATTTTAAGTGGGTTTTTATTGTATGGAATGGATACTGCACTCCACATTGTTTTATCGTGAGACCATCCTGAGATCATTTGGTAGCAGATGCTACACAAAAGTTTAAAATATTAAATAAATAATAAACAGCGCACGTGGCATGACGGGGCAGGTGTAGGACCACGGCCTGGGAGGGCCGGTTCTAGTGCCCACTAGGCCATGGAGCCCACTGGGTGACTTCCAGCCAGTCATGCGGTGGAAGCTCGTCGCACCTCACAGGGTGGTGGTTGTGAGGTAGAGCGGAGCTCCTCAGCGGGGGGACAAAGGCGGCTGTGAGCGCAAAGTGATGGCCATCCTCCTCGTAACAGGCCTGGAGAAGCGACCACCGGGTCTCCCTCCACTCGTGGCTTATTCACAGCCGCCACGACGGCTGCGTGGATGATGGGACCCCGCGTCTCTCCCTGAGGCGGGGCTGCTCGGGGCGGACTCTTCGCCAGGGCGTCTCGAGGGAATCCCCGCCAGGGAGGGCCGCGGTCCCCGCGTGCCGCGCGCCTCTTTCCCTCGCAGAGGCCACGTCTCCGATTAGCTCCAGGCCCTGCCCATCCAGGCGCCACCGAGCCCCGCATTGGCGGCGGAGCGAGAGGCGGCGGCCGTTTGGGTGCGACCGCCGCCACTCCGAGCCGGGGGCGGGCTGGTTGCGTCATCCCTGCGGCAGGCCGCGGCCGGATTGGCCGGCCGCGCGCGGCGCCCCGCCTCCCGTCCCCGTTCGCCTTGGAAGGGAGCGAGAGGGGCAAAAGGGAGAGGAAGAGACCGCGCGTCGGGCCTGCCCGGGCCGCGCCTCCCCCGGATCGATCCCGGGCCAGGTACGGGGCCGGGAGAGGCGGAGGGCCGACATCGGGCTCGCGGGCGCGGGGTCGCAAGGACTGCGTCCGGCCGGGCGACGCTCGTGCGGGGAGGGCCGGGAGCCCCGGCGCGCAGCCCCGCGAACCCGGCGTGGGACCACCTGTGAGGCGCGGGGAGGCCCCGCTGGTGGGGCCGGGCGCCGGGGGGGGGGGGCGGCG